AAGGCGGAGACGAGTTCAAAGCCCGTCTGGGAGGATGGCTATGTCCCGGGCGAGTTTCGTCTATTGACCACGGCGGCGGATGAGTATCCCGATGGCGGAAGGACGGGGTTCCTCAAGTGGCTCAAGGCGCGCTGCACAATCACCTTGACGGACACGTATGAGCAGCATCACGGCATCGACGCTGTCTGGCGTAAATTCACCTCGTGCTTTGGCGTCACCAACACTATTATTCACTACGAGCCAATCTTCCGTGCTTTCCTCAAGAGATTGATGGCGTCTCTGTTGGCAGACGGCATCTACTGGATCGAGCTGAGGTAAATAAATCATCCTTGTCACACATCGAAAGGTGATGTACTGACCCCAAATAGATTCACGTGGCCGCTCAATTACTGCCGCGACCAGCAAGAAGAACCGGAAAAGGACTACAACCACATGTTCCAAGTAATGGAAGAAGAGCTCGCCCTATTCAAATCCGACCCGGCCCACGCCGCCTTCTGGGGCTTCCGCACCATCTGGACCACCATCCGCCACCTCCCCGTTCGCGACATCATCGAGAGCATGGACAACTGCATCACCACCAAGATCTCCTGGCCCCACCTCATCGCCGGCTACGACCTCGTCGGCCAAGAAGACCTCGGCCGGCCCCTCCGCGACCTCCTCCCGGAACTCTTCTGGTTCCGCAAGCAGTGTGCCCAGGAAGGCGTCAACCTCCCCTTCTTCTTCCACGCCGGCGAGACCCTCGGCGACGGCGACGAGACGGACCAGAACCTCTACGACGCCATCCTCCTCGGCACGCGGCGCATCGGTCACGGCTTCTCCCTCTACAAGCACCCGCTGCTCATCGACATGATCAAGGAGAAACGCATCCTCGTCGAGTCATGCCCCATCTCCAACGAGGTCCTCCGCCTCTGCGGCTCCATCATGTCGCACCCACTGCCCGCGCTGCTCTCGCGCGGCGTCTCGTGCGCGCTGTGCAACGATGACCCGGCCATGCTGGGCCAGGACACGGCGGGCATGTCGCACGATTACTGGCAGGCGCTGCAGGGGTGGGAGAACGTCGGCCTGCTCGGGCTGGGATCCATGGCGGAGAACAGCGTGCGGTGGTCCGCCTTTGAGGACGAGACGCCGGCAGAGTGGACCGAGGGGATCAAGCAGGCGAGTCTGGGGTCCGGTATCAAGGCGCAGAGGCTCAAGTTGTGGGAGACGGAGTGGGAGAAGTTCTGTCTTTGGGTCGTGGATGAGTATGGTGACGAGGCGGACAAGGCGTGAGGGGAGGAAATGAGGGTTAGGAGTGTAGCGATTTTCTGTGAGGGGCTGTCGTCCAGTGGACTGTGACGTTACTCTGGGCGAAGTTACACCCTTGCTTTCAACAATCGAGACGGCGCGGCGTGTGGGGGTTGGTCGCGGAGGGAGAGGGCGTCTGAAAGCGAACGAGGCAAAGGCAAAACCGGGTTTTCGGCACGGGCGAAACGGGGATATGGGAGACAATGGAATTTTCAAAAGAGCGCCATGATTATTGGTGGAGGGGTTCAAACGGGAAGGGCTTGCATTCAACACCGCGGATACATCATTAAAGGGCATTCAACGCGGCTCTGGGATTGAGAGAAATAGACAAGGGGGAGAGGGGTAAGGGGTTTAGAACCGAGTGTGCGGTTAGACTACAACCCTCCAAAAAGGGCAGGGTGGAAGGTTTTTGGCGGTCCATATTAGCCCTCTGATATCACTATTGCGAACCATTTTTTCTTGTGGCTAGTTCGGAGTGATGTCGGCAGCTTTATGGGTTGACTAGACGATGGATGTAGGTCGCCGTCATGAGGCTGAAGTTTGCAAAAGGTCCCGAGGCATATCAAAATACCATACATTTACGCGCGTGCAGTTCATCATCACCACTTTCTCCCTCCGTCCGGCAGCGCGGCCTAAGTTACCGCTTCTGGATAACCGTAACAGAACCAGGTTCTCGTCTGGCTTCGCCGGCATATTAGGAACAATATGCAGTGTGACGGGAAGGATGGGCAGTAACCAATAAAAGGCCATTACCGCGCCGCCGGAGCTGCTGGCGAAAAGGGTAGGTCGGGTGTCAGCATCAGCCATCAGCAATAGCGGATTCCGGGATCTTGGAAACAACAAGACGCAGGCTACCTTGTAAGGCGTATTTGAGGGACAGAGTTACCTGGCACCTGGGACCGGGTGCATCTACCGAATCGATCCTAATCTTTCAAGAGGCTGGAGCATGTATCTTGGACAGCGTACGGTGTCCTAGTACACAGGTTCAATTACATTGTGCCTTGAGCTTTCGCGTCGGGGATTGAACCCCTTTTTGGGGCGAAGGATGCATGCGTTCTCTACGATGATACCCTCCAGATCACTACATCCTGTCATCTTACTGGACCGATGAGGCCTCCTTTCACCAGGGTCGCCTCGCTGCAATCTTGAGTACCAGGGTTTTGGGATAGCAGTTTCTTGTGCGTTTGTCGAGGACAAGCTGGTCGTTTTTCGCGATATTGAAGTCAAACGTAGCTGTAGAGGAATCGAGAAATGATACTGTTGTATAAGGCGAGAACTCAGTAGTCCGACAATGATTCACGATAACCTGGCCCTTGGCTTGGGTTCGGGTCTGGTATCCAGGGCACTTCCTTGGAGATACTGTTTGAGATGGTCCAATTTAGTCAGATCAGAATAGAGATGGTATGCTAAATATACAATGAGAAAGTGGCCCATCACTGCGATTAAATGCGTAAATTCTCTTGGCACAATACAAAGGGAAGAGAAAGTTGCCGTCTATGATCCTGGTCCCCAGTTTGATTCGAGCCACGACCTGAAACTCACGGGTCGAAAGTCGACTGCTTCATTCAAGTTGGCCTGACGAAAGTCATATCGACCATCCGCCGTAGCTATCAGTCGCTGTATATTCCACCACTGGTTCCAATTCTGACGTTGCTCGTAATGTGTAAGCTCGCTCTGGAGCTTGGAGTACTTTCGAGTTCGCAAGGTGAACGCCACTATCATTTTATTAGCCCGTACAGTCTCATGATTCCTCTAGAGTAGGGGGACGAAAGATCACTCACCACCTCTCACGTTGCTGCATTTTGCAAATATGTCTCGAACCGACATCCTGTCCCCTCTCATCTTGAACTCGCGGGGCCACGTGCCCGGGCCCAGCTCGATGGCAGCGGCAACAAATCGAGCCACGTCGGCAACGGAGGTCATGCAGACCTGCACAGGTCGTCCAGAGCCGTTGGTCTCAACAATATCCGCGGACGCGTTCCCGACATCGACGAGGTAGACCCCCTGACTCCCAATCGTAGCGCGGGCTCCCATGCCGTACTCTGCCAGCCCGCCCGGCGCAAAGCGCTCGTACAGGACGCCGCAGGAGAAGACCGTGTACTCCATCTTGCGAGACTTTGAACTGGCGCAGTGTTTTAGCAGCTCGATGGCTTCGGAGGAGCCGTAGTCGAGGGGGTCTTGGCCGGACGATGGGCGGTGGGATATCGAGCCTTCGAACTCTGCGGGGACGAAGAGTCGGACGCGGGCGTGGCGCGCGGCGTGGATGACGTTGATTTGTTCTTGGCCGCGTATCGTTGATATGACGAGGTCGATGCCCTTGAGGGCGAAACGGAGTCTTTCAGCGTCGTCGTAGTCTACTACCGCGACTTGACAGTCGTAGCGTTCCTCCAGCTCTGGTTTTGACTGCGAACTTCGCGTTAGTGACCTGGTATGCTCATATTTTCCTCATTACCTACTTCTCTTGATAGAATGATTACGGGGTTCGCTGTTTGCGTGATGTGATGGGCTAGGATAGCTGCGAAGCCTCCACCACCCACGATAGCTATTCTCATCATGACTGTGGTATGTAGCGTGTGAAACAGATCGAGACTGATGAGAGTTAGTCTTCAGGATTCGGATCTGTTCAGGTTTTGTAATTTATTTTTCACCACTATTAAGTTTCAGAATTGAACTTGCCTCAAAGATGTTCATTCTTGTAATGAGATTGCCATGGTAGACGACGGAGAGTGCCGATGTACAGACCACACCACTAGAGCATGTGCGAAGTGACTCAAAGACGTTATTGGGATACGACTGGCTGTTTCGATACAAGGCAACAACAAGAAAAGGTCCATACGAGCATATCCGTAGCCAATCCTGCGTCCAAAGCCGAAGCTCTAGCGACTAGAGGTCAACTTCGAATTCGATAGGGTTCGACAGTTGACGTGGACAGCAGACGATTCTCTCGTCTCGACGTTGTAAGCCAAGAGAACAGAGGGACGCCTTGAGGTGACTTTGAGAAGGTGGTGGGGTCCGAGTTTGCGTTCAAGTTCACAACGACATCGTAATCGAGGGTGACGCCTGCTGACTTGCAGACCGGTGAGGGCAGCGGACAGAGGATAGCTGGACTAGCGGGAAACAATCGACTCCTACGGAGGCGGAAATCGACTTTCCAAAGGCGGCCTTCACAGGGTGTACCTAATGCCAATACTGTCAACAGGACGTTGAGGGTGCCGTTCAGCATGCACCGCAGGTACCTGACTGCGTGGGGAAAACGCGCAGTGCCTTGAGCCGATGTCCCAGATGACCGGGTTGCAGGACGGCTAATTTCATCCCGCTGCGGCACGGCTGCGGGTATCAGAGACACCTCGTATCTTGCTTCAGATCTTGTTACGAATAGCGATTTCTGTTCCTGAATCTTGTTGTTTTCGTTGGTTACATGAAAGTACGAGCTCACGTTGACTAAAGAGAGAGAGATGGACGAGACCCAGACTCAATGGAACAGATGTTGATGATTTTGGTTCGCGTACAACAGGAAACGAGTACTTTGCGTCAGAAGATTGAAGTTCAAGGCGGCGAACATAGTCCCGTAGTTTGCAGAGATATCATTGTTTCCCGGGGTAGGTTGGGTGGGGGGTCGGAGCCAAGCATGTGAGCAGGAAACGACGGTCTCCAGGTTGAACTCGACACCCGAGGCAGATGACCGAGTCCGCCTGCATGTTCGATATGCTGCCTCAATGGATGATTGCAATGCGCCTTACGAGCTGGTGTGGTGTGAGAATCTCCGCCTTGGACTTTCCGCTATCGAATGGGAGGTTCCAGCTCGGGCTTCACGGGGAAATACCTCCACCTCACCGAGCCTCATCCGGGGGGATGAAACAAGGTCAGCGCTGTGAAATAATCAGGATTGTAGAGTAATGTAACGGCAGCTAGCGTAGCAGTGCCGTAGCTGTGCAGATGATTGGGAACCTGGCAACCTCGAGTCGAAAGAGATTCAAGTCGAGATGGACGACGTGCCACTCAAGGGTGCCATTGGCGCACACCCCTGCCCGGGAGAACAGGCTACCCTGCGCAAGACTCAGCCACGAGACCTGGGTGCCTAAGTCGTAGCATTGAATGACAATGGAAAGTACTTGAGCAAACACTTGCAATCGAGAAGAGTATCTGGTGGCATGGCGACCCAGAAGTAGGTACTTTGATGAGGGAGGGGAGTTGAGAGATCGAGGTGGGGTCCGTTTCGGTACGTAGTCTCATCCAATCGTTCAGCCCTATGCATATGTGCCTCAGGATATTCCTCGGGGATCGCACGCTCCAGTCGCACGAACAGTCAAGGGGACCCCCGACGAAGCCGTCTTCCTCCGGGCATCATCAACCAGGAACCAGTTATGTATCTTCATCGATCACCCGGCAGGAACCGGACTGGCCCAGCCGCCTCGTAATTACTCATTGCGTACTTTTCTTGGCATGTCAAGACAGCAATGCCTATACGCCTAGTCATGCCCCTCGGCAAGTCAACTTGAGTAAGGGCGTTGACGGCATTTCATCTGGGCAGACTGATCTGAGAACTACTACACCTTATCCCGCCATTGGCCTGAACCCTGAAGTGGCGAAAACGTCTCATGAGGACCAATGTTCTAGCCGATGGTACATATGGTTCGCCTGTAACTGACACTTTATGATGTGACCCTGCCAGTAAATTTGTTGTTATTCTAGTAGGTTGTACGACCTGAAATTAGTCACCAGATTCCATCGCTTAGCAATATGATATTCTGCAAATTCACAAAGAACGTTAAATGCGATAGATGAGGACCATCAACTTGATATGACGTGGTTGTTACCTTCTTAAGCAAGACTAAATCTTTCGCCCTGAAGAATACCTTGAGATAGCGAGCTAATTCGTCACTCAGTGTGCGTTGACGTTTACGCAATCCCTTCGTATAAAGCAGTTACTATCTTTAGATGGATATTTTGATGGAATTGGTTGATGTTAACGAAACGGCTGAGCTTCTATAATGCGCTACGTAATGCCGATACGATGACTAGGAAAGCAAGAGAAAGGTGGATTGAATCTATCATTGCGTTTCTAGGTGATCAATTGCTTAGGACACGCCTCGCCGTGGATTGCTTGATACAACCGGTCCATCTCTTAGTCCCGCATGCGTCACGAGGTGATAGAATACTAGAAGTAGAACAATTCATTCACGGAAAGCCTAGGCCTAGGTGCAGAGAACCCCCTTTTCTAGAGCTCACTGGCTCGTTGACTCTTGTCCATAATCGCGACCACGACGAAGTCGCATCCGCGTCCACCAATGAGAGCAAGAGGCCGCTATTTCTCGAATTGCTCCCGTGATTCACACATGCATGGGCTTCTTTCGCGTGTGGGGGTTCTAGGCAGGCTATTTCAGGCAGAAAGCTAACCCAAGCCATTGAGGTCAATACCTGTAAGGTACGATGAAAGCGGTCCTTGACATGGCAATCTGCGATGTCGAAAGTGAATCATCCGCGACAGCGCAGACGCGCCCTTCGTACATTGCTTGCCTGCCAATAATGGCAAACGAGTGTGCCTGGGGGAAGAATTGGATGCGACTCGTTCTTGATTGGAGCGCGGAGCTCAGACCACAGGGGGTCTCGGTGAGTTCGGTGAAAGGCCACTTCCCGCCCAGCCCCGCCCTCCTCACCTTTCGGATAAGATAATGATCCGTTGCCCTAGAATTTCGCTGCCACTTTTTCCTACACCCACAACTGAAATCCACTTTTGGACTGGGAAAAAGTTTCGTGAAGTGTCAAGCTCCATCTCAATCTATCAATTCTTCCCCCTCCCCTCACCACAACCACTTCAACCAAACGCAGGATCAAACTTCTTTGCGTCCATCACATCCGTCCAAAATGGCTCCTCAAGCAGTACGTACATGACAACACCGCTTTGCTGTTGGCCCAGCCCAATTTCCTCTTCTCCTCTGGAAAATGAGAGAGAGGAAATTGGGCGGCGGCGTGAAACAGTAGGCTAACGTCATGTTCCCCAAATTCTAGGCGATCAAGCGCACCGGCAAGGGCAAGAACCAGAAGGTTACCAAGAAGTTCATCATCAACGCTTCCCAGCCCGCCTCCGACAAGATCTTCGACGTCGCTGCCTTCGAGAAGTTCCTCCAGGACAAGATCAAGGTTGAGGGTCGCGTCGGCAACCTCGGCGACCAGGTTCAGATCTCCCAGCAGGGTGAGGGCAAGATTGAGATCATTGCCCACAACGAGCTCTCCGGCCGTTACCTCAAGTACCTGTAGGTTTTCTTCTTGATCTTTTGTGGCGCTAGCGACAATTTGTACCCTGTAAGGACAACTTACTGACCTTATTGTTCCACCCCACAGCACCAAGAAGTTCCTCAAGAAGCAGCAGCTCCGTGACTGGCTCCGTGTCGTCTCCACCTCCAAGGGTGTTTACGAGCTCAAGTTCTTCAACGTCGTTAACGACGAGGCTGATGAGGACGACGAGTAAACAGTTTTCATGCACTAGTCAGGTTAAGGTTACTTGGGTCGGCATGGCACTGGAATTTTGGCAAGGTTAAAAGGGAATACCAAAAGTTAGCACCTTCGTGTGCTTGTTGATCTGCCACACGTGGTCCTCCTTTGTTCGTGAATGATTGCGATGTTATGCATTGAGGTGCGATTATGATTCCGATCCTGGGTATCCTGCTGTCTATCTATGGTTATCGGTGCCCCTCGTACAAATGTCTCATCTATACCTTACGGCAATGTAATCACCCACACATTTACTCTGGCAGAGCCCGCATAACACCCTCGAATGCAACCAACGCCATGGCATTAGCCGGGAACGCCCTCAAGAAACACGGCAAGAACCCACGCCAGTATCCCTTCCACCCCGTCTCCCTATACACCGCCGTCGCAGCGTCCTTCCACCTCCTGAACTTTGGTGTGCCGTCGTTGAGCCCGCCACCAAGGGGATCCGTCATGATGCGCTGCTTGATCACGTCCGACGGGTAACTCGTCAACCAGAAAATCTGCGCGCTCAACCCGCCCGCCCAGAAATTCACCGCCGGCGCACTGAGGTTCGTGTTCTTCTTAAAGTACTTTGAAAACACATCATAGCTGCCCCACCAGCAGAAGAAAAACCCGCGAAACAGCAACGTCGCGCTGAGGCCGTGATACACGCCCCGGACGCCGTGGTTCGCGTAAATCTTGCGCAGGCAGTCGACGGGCCCGCTGTACAGCCGCTCGGCTTTGTTGGCGGCGTACTGGATCTGCAGGCGCGCCTTCACGTGCTCGACGGGCGCGGCGATGAAGCTGACGGTACTGCCCGCCATGATGCCCGCGATGCCGTGGCCGTATGACGGTAAGTTGTCGACGGCGCCGACGCGGAAGAGGCGCTCGGCGACGAGGCGGCGGTAGACCGTCAGCGAGCCCAGCATGACCGAGTCCATGAACATCCAGCCCACCAGCGGAGGGGTCGCGCCCTTGTAGAGGCCCGGGATGCCCTCGTTCCGTAGCGTTTGGCCTACGCATTGGAGGGGGCCGCTGAAGCGCGAGGCGTCTGTTGTTTGGAGGCGGACTTTGATTGTGTCGAAGGGGTGGCCGACTTCGCAGTTTCAGTACGGTATTCAAATCTCAGAATGCAGAGTGACTAACCAGTGAGCTTGGCGATTCCTGAAAATACTCCGGCGACAAAGCCTTTGTAGTTTTTTACGGCTGCCTTGGGCTCTTCCCTCACGTCTGCCACCATGATGTTTGAGCGAGGGGGACTCGTGGTCGTTGTGAGATTGCGCGCGGCCGCCATCGCCTTTAATTGAACCCCAAGAACTGGCACTCGGCATTCGCGTCTGTTGCGGTCGTCGGGGCCAAAAAGAGGCCTTGGTTAAAAGAGAGGTGTTCTATCTCTCCTTCTATCGTGACGTGTCGGGCCTTATACACAATCTATCCCACGAAGAAGTTAAGTTGCGAAATGAAGCGAAGCGACTGCTCGTGTCTCGCTCTTCATGAATCATGAAGCTCGTCGATTCTCGCTAAGCAGAAAAGGAGCCGATTCCGGGGGACGTGGGGGAGCTCCTAATCGCATCGAAGCTCGCGCTGATTGGTCAGCTAAAGTGCATGGCGCACCCCCTGGCATCAGGTTTCCTCGTACGGATAGAGGGGACTCAGTCTCCATCATTCCTTCACGGGGTTATCGGGGAACGAAGCCCGAAGTTTTCACGTTGTGGCTTCAGCCTTCTCGTCAGAATAGGAAACGGTAATTACGGATGATTCGGTGCTGATTACTGTCAAGATTGTATACTGTGGTTTCGATCTTGTCACTATGAGTTGGTCGCATCAATATCACAGCTCATAGCAGTTGCCATCCCCACCAACATCGACAGCTTACAGTGAAAATGGACATTTATGACTAGCTTAGATAGAGTGTATCAAACCCGGCCGTTCATGGCGAGTGAGTGGTGCATTGCAGTAGCTGGAGTATTTATATAGGTAACATTGCTTTTCCTTGTGGAAACCCCAACTACCTTACGATCTATCAGCACAGTAAGCTCTCTCTCTGTTCTGAAACTTGCGAATCGATGCGCTCTTTGCTTAGTGAGAAGCTCCTTTCAGGCATTGGAAGCACCATCATCGCAAAATATCGAAATCGAGGAAGATTGTAACTGTCCAACTTGTATCGCATGCACTGATAGTGATCCAGAATTCTTCGACGCACTGCTACCGTATTGGCACGCGCTTAGAACTTTCATCACACCTTGGATGAGGTTTTCAGCATTATATCTTAGTTGAAGAAATTTGAGAGCAGATAACTATCGTATAATCTGTGCACCTAAGGAGCTGTGTAAGTATGTACATGGCTATGGTGGGTGATGTAATTTGGCAGCCAACTGCCTGCCCTCAAGAAATTAGACAGGGATCCAGAGCTTCCTGACTCCAACCCCCCGAGCTCCCAACGCTGACGTCACGTGGAGTTCACCTTCACCCGAACACCTGCGCATCCCACCACCAGACGGGACAGGGCATTCTGGTGAACCGTTTCTGCAACACCACGCTCCGAGTTTGCCCAAAACTCGCAAACCTCCCAACGTCACGACGCAGCCCGAATAATCGACCACCATGAAAG